GGTCTTCAATAAGGAACCAAGGAAATGCCACCATGATCGATACAGATTACCACGTGCCTTGAGCCCCACGTTTGGCTTGGTCTCAGTTTGCTGTGAACCTGATAAATATCACTGTCAAATCATCATCAACACCACCTCAAGTCACACAGATTCCGCTACTCAAAGGAAGCAATTACTCGAAATAAAGACACAATATGTTCTGCCCTATAATCTGAAACTCGTTTTCATGAAACCTGGCCGAGATCAAGTTGAACTAGGAAACTCAAGGTAGCCGCTTAGCAGAATATCCTAGTGCGACAACGCCGACAGAAGTGACATTTCCCACATTCGTTGGCACTTAGTTTTGGTCCGCTTCTTGAAAAAAGTCTTTTCTAACCGATGTCCTCTGACATGAATATGAACGGCTGTGTGACCTTCAAGCAGCAGTCATGGTTAAATGAAAGTACTGGCAAGCAATTCCTCCTCTGACAGTACATCTAGTGTGCTCGTCAGGACGGAAAACAGTGCTCATCTCATCCCGAATAGGAAAAGTGCTGTTTTAGACAGAATTATCACAAAACATTCCGAACTTATTAGAATAGAAATGGAAGCTCTTGTTCCAGCTAGTGATTATGTTCTCGTTTTCATCGTAACTAAATGTGTTCGCGCTCAACGTACTGTTCACTCGCCGAGACGAACCGAATGAAGAAAACCTTTGGAAACCTTTCGCTTAACAGCATCACGCTTCTTCGAATAGACCTCTCGCTTATTTCATCGTGGGTATCTTTCAACTTTTATCTTTTCTGTCTAGACATTTACACATGTACTGTGGAGGGTGTATGATTTGTGTTGTCTCAGGAGGACTGTATTTCTCAACCAACGTCAAGATAGCGTCTCCTTTGCTTAAATATCTGAGAAAGCGGAAAGATCGTGACTGTAAATTACACAACCAGACTCTCTTGAATCAACTCTGCATCCTGATTAGGCAAGAGACTCGACGACTATCCATGGGTAACTTCCATTGCACGGTATCCTACTTTTGTATGCACAATTTACCCGGTCAAAAACGTGCGAGATAGCCAATGGCAGTCTAAATTCCGCCCTTGTTCACCATTCATCTAATAACATTACTCAGATGTAGAGCCGGTCTTTTATAGAAAAATCCTTATGTTGTTTAAAACCTAAAACTCAGATTCTGGGTCACTTGCCGTTTACTGTTCTTATGCTTGGAGCAAGTCAGCTACCTGGAGTTTTGACTTCTCTTATCAATAAATCTGTTGAGGTTGGTGCCAATCATGCCTACTGGGAACCCAAAACAGAAACACATTTTCAAACTCTACCTCCAAAATATAGTGGGAACTCTCCCGTCTCGTTTCCATCATTTCTACGCTCATCTTGACCGAGCGCTTTCTTAACTCTACTGTGTTCTTTTTTGTTATTCCGAATGACCCCCATTAGTTTTTGTACAAAACCCTACTGATGAGTTTTGGAAGCCGCTGCTTCAGTTCACCATTTCATACTGAACCCCCTTAAAAGTTTCACAATATCCCTTTATCTGTTTTTTGCTCGAATATTCTTTCGCTCTTGATTCGGAGCCCCGTTCTCTTTTTCTTCTTCGGCTGTCAAATATCTTCACTCTTGTGGATGATAGGCAACTTTTTCAAAAGAAGCCGATGTACTAGATTTGACACAAAAATATTGAGTCCATTTACTAACAACTCTGGTATTCTTGGGAGAAGGTGCATTTCTCTCTCATTTTCTTTTCACTCCAAAAGGCAGCGACTTTACCGTAGCACCATCTGCAAACATTTTCGATTGTGTAGATGAAGTGTCACTTTTTCAATCTATCTCCAACCAATAGCACTTCAACTTACTTTCCAGGAATGTATACAACATCCGGGATATTCGTAACATATTGGACTACATGTCATCACTTACAAATGTTTTGAATTTACTGTCACCCTTTCTCGTTCCTCCCCCCCCCCCCCCGAGGAGCAATCAATCATCAACATTTAGAGCTGGCTCGGTGAACCATTAAGGCGTTTCAGTCAGCACTGTTTTACATTGCTTTGCCCATATTCTCGATTGTATTTTAAAGACTATGCAGATTGTATTTTTTCCTTCGTAACTCGAGACAGTGTGGTCCCGAACAAGCTGTTATATGCGCTTGTGTTCTTCAATTCATTCTGCCGATCTTAATCTATTGCTCTCCCGTAGTGGGTTCTGGTCCATTTTAGATAGACTTCATCAATGAACTAGGCAACCTGATCATGATCAGTCGTTTGTATGATTTCTACGTGCTCTCTCATCTCCGAAGTTTGCCATCTCCACATTATAGCCTGTGCCACATTCGCCAAGAATATGTTCGTGGACCCTGCTGATCCCTCGTTCCATGACTTATCTACATCTCTTTCGCATCCCTCTACAAGTCCTGCATTTGTAATTATCCGTTTCAGCATAAATATAGGCCCTAAGTCTACAGGGCCTTGCCAGGCGTGTGTTTTGGTTGACAAGATGAACACCACAAAGGAAATTCGCATGAACCTCGACGGCTGAAACAGTTCTATTTATACAGTGTTTGTTTTCCTCTCAAAATTCAAAGTCCTAAATCAAGTGTCTCTTCATGTTTGACGGCCAAATTTACCTGTCAAAGTCTTCTAAACGATGGAAAAATACATGACTCCAACTAATATATATATATATATATATATATATATATATATATATTCTTGTACTTTCCACTATTGATCTCAATGAAGCCATGAAAACACTGTTGTGTTTATCGCGCTCGGTTCAAAACGAGTCAACTGAAGGGCTTCGTTTTGCGTAAATTTTTGCGATGTTATTCTGTTCCTGAGTCTTGATATTCTTCGAAGAAAAACAGATTTCCATTCCACCGGCAGGTCTCTCGGCGTGATACTTGGAATTGTATTTTCTGTGGTTGTACCATTCTGTGGACTATAATTTGCCCACAATGCCTCCAAAAGGAGTCAAAAATTTTGCATCCAAATGCCTAGTTTGTTCAAAAGTTTTTCAACCACACGACAGATCTCTTCAGTGTGATGGTTGGGCCAGTCTTGAGTGTTTCGAAATAAGTGGTGATCTTTAAGAAGCCGTGGAAAAATGCCGTGCAAAGTTGCTGAATGTGTTGTACATCAGATGCACCGAGCTATCAACACCTGTGTGGCCTGCAAAGCAGTCGGCGGAAATGGCTCTTCCTGTCACAAATACAGCAGCGTCATCATTTTCGTGGTCGTCGTCGTCGTCATCATCATCATCATCAGCACCATCAATCAGTTCATCACCATCAATAGCAGCAGAATCAGCGGCACCATCATCTCTTCCTTCGCCAATATCATCACTCGCACCGTCATTATCGCCGTTCGAAGGGGAAAATTCCGCCGAGGTATCTATTTCTGACTGTGCTAGGTATGCAGAGGTGGCATCAACATCGGTAACTGAGCCAACCGGAACAAAAAGCCGTCAACGCCAGAAGCTATCTAAGTCTGTTCGCCACAATGCGGACCCAGTTGGCACTGATGTGGCCACTCAAGCAGAGGACGGTATCATAGGTACAACACTCAGCCAACATAGCACCACCGTGGATGGAAGAAAACCAGCCTGGATAACAACAGCGGGTCGTCCACGAAGAGCGCCACCGTCAAGGAAACAGTGTTTCCTAATTATGATCTTGCCTGAGACAAAGGAGACCACGGAACAGGCACATCTGGACCACTATATCGCGAGTCTCCAGGAAGAAGGAAACTGTGGAGAAAATGCGGGTGGAATCAGCCTTCCAAATAAGCAAAGCCAGTGAGGCTGGATGTTCCCGTCCACTGGAGGTAGTGCTGGAATCTGAGGAAGCCGCAACGTCTATTTTAGGAAGATCCTACGGGCTAAAAGGCGAGCAAGTGCGGTTGCACCAAGATTCAGATCTTGCGGATCGTGAGAAATATGAAAATGCGTTGATCGAACGACGTGGCCGAAAGGAACAAGGGGAAACGGACTTGATCATTTGGGGTTTTCGGGTGCAGAAACGGCGGCCTCACTTCCGGTGGAGGCCACTGACGCTAAAGTCCCTGTCAGTCCCCTCAAGCTAGGATGCCCTGAACAAACGGAGTTGGTAGCAGGCCGAGGCAGCGTCATTATCCTGTGTTCCAACGTCGATGGTCTGCTGAACAAGAGAGACTGACCTGGATCACCTGTTGCAGTCCAGCTCACCTACTATGATAACACTGAAAGAGACGTGGCTGAGTAACAGTGTTCTAGACTCTGAGGTATCCGTCCCTGGCTTCACCCTATTCCGAGTCGATATAAAATCTATCTGGGCTGGTGGAGGCGTAGCATTGTTTGTCCGATCAGACATCCAAACAGCGCAGTGAGAGGCGTTCGCAGATCCGCAAAAATTCGGTGAAGCTATCTGGTGTCGCTTCAAGCTTACCGCCGGAGGCCTTAGGACAGTTGGAGTCATCTATCGGCCACCTGCGGTCACTCCTTCAAATATGATGAATTTACTGAGGAGATGCGTGTGCGACGGCCACTGCCTCTTCTTGGGAGACTTCAATTCTCCGCATTTTGATTGGACATCAGGCAGGACGGCGGCCGGTGTAGATCCTCTCTCTCGGAAATTACTGGCAACGGTCCAAGAACTGGCACTACACCAACATGTTCAGGAATCAACCCGGAGGCAATCCAGTCAAGGCTCCATTCTACATCTGATGTTTTCTCCCAGGAGCTCGGACGTCGATAAGTTTGAGCATCTCCCCCCACTTGGAAGCAGTGACCACATGATGCCAGAAATTCACTGGCGGAGTGGTTCTTGTCCATCCCTTAGACCACACATTGGACGTAGTGTTTGGCGCACTCCATTCGAAGATGCCCGGAGAGCGGCATTAGACGTCAACTGGTTTTCCACGGATTCAGATGTCCACCGCGATGTGAACAAAGTTTGAGCGTTTATTCGTGACGGTATCTTGTACCTAATGAATACTTACTGCCCCCTCAACCGACGTAGACCCCGGATGAAGGGCCCGCCGTGGTTTGATCTGGAGCTCAGACGCCTGCTCAAACGACGAAATCGGGCTTGGCAGTGGTTCCGATCTACATATGAGGGTTATGATCTTTATCGTAGTATTCGTACCCATGGTACCGAACAAAGGCGGATAAAGCAGATGGCTTTCGAGGAGGCCCTTGCGGTTGATGCAGTGCGAGCACCCAAGTGCCTGTTTGCATACATGAAGCGCCGCACCAGAGCGAATGTCTGTATCCCGGCGCTGATGAACACCGACGAAATGGTTGCAACAGATGAAGAAAAGGCTGAAACATTAGCCAAGCAATATCTGTCAGTTTATTCTGTGGAGACAGGTGTGCCAATCCCGATGGTGGATGGCTTGCAGCTGTTCATTATGCATGATTTTGGGAAGCCGGAAGTGAATAAGATGCGCAATTTCTTCAAAGCCCATAAGTCTCCGGAACCGGACGAAGTGCATCCGTTGATGTTGAAAGATATGCGGGACCAACTAACTACACCACTGACGCGATTGTCCAATTTATCGTTGGCCACTGGTAATCTACCCCGGGATTGGAAAAAACAGTCGTTGTTAATTACGAATCGTAATTAGAGTTTTTCCTTCTGCCTTCTGTTTAGTTACTTATCAGTAGTGAGTGCATGCATCGTGAACCCCAGACATTCGTAATGTATTTTCCCTGTTTCTAAGGTATCACATCAGCTTATACTTGAGTTTCATGGTGCTTATTACATGAACAGTTCACGTTTTTGTTCGTTACCTTGTTTTCCCGAAAGTCTACACTTCTACTGTTATATAATCTTTCTGAGTGTTTCATTTGTACTGCCGAACGGAGGCTCGAACTCCCAGTCTTAGCGTTCTGTCAGTGCACTCCACTATTGGCCGTCATGCGTCAACAGCATTAACAGATCTATTGCTGGATTCGCCCATTCATGTTGGCACGTACTCTTGTTTACTCCACAGACTTAGCTTATTTGTACTTATTTGGTAATGACACTTTTTACCAGTGCAACCACAGTCGAATTCACGCGTGTAATCGATTTATTGATCTTTGACGATAAACGTTCTTGATTTATTGATTGTACCACAACCGAACTGCGCTACAGTTTCGTTCAGCTGCCTGCTAGGTGGACCGTTTTTATTTTCTGCGCTGTCCCGATTTTCGGAAGCTTACTGCTCATTGTTCTTGGTTTCTCACCTGGCTGTAAGTCTTTTATTTGCTGTATATTTATGCTTATTGTATTATTTAGAACCACGAATCATCGATAAACACGGTTATTCGATTGGAATTTGTTCTGCTGCCCGTAATCGTGTTCTGCCCATATCGTGCGTGTAGCTAGAGAAACTAAGTTACTGCTAGATTCACAGCCCTAGACATCGGGATAGTCGCAACAGTCGTTTTTCTGCTGTACAAGGGTGGGACAAAATCCACCTCGGCCAACTACTGCCCAGTCAGCCTCACTTCCGCAGCTGGAAAGGTCATGGAAAACCTGGTGGCTGCTCACATACGGGAACATCTGGAGCTCTGTCAACTGCTATGTACTGAGCAGCACGGTTTTTGGCGGAATGGATCATGTCTGTCAAACCTGTTGATTGCCCATGATAGTTGATTGAACCCCAAGGCCAAGGGATATAGCACGGACGTCATCTTTGTGGTCTTTAGTAAGGCGTTTGATAAAGTTTCTCACAATGGGTTGTTGCTGAAATTCCGGGCCATCGGCATCTCAGGGCCCATGCTCAACTGGATTGAGGATATCTAGGTCAAGAGAAGCTTTTCCGTAAGAGTTGCACATTCACAGTCCGTGTGGTATCCAGTTAGCAGTGGCTTGCAGCAAAGCTCCGCGCTAGAACCCCCGTTGTTTCCAGTGTTTGTGAACGACTTACCACAGACCATTCGATCCAAATGCCTTATCTACGCCGATGAACTAAAGATCTGGCGCACCATTCGGTCTTCAGAGGATCGCGAGATACTACAGGAGGATCTGCAGGCTCTCGTCAATTGATCGACCACCTGAGGTCTACCGATTGACATGGAAAAATACGCGAGCATAAGGATTGGTGGCCCCAACGATACTTCCGGCTACTGCCTTGCGAGTATCGTACTCTGTAACACGCATGAGGAAAAGGACCTCGGAGTTGTTGTCACCAACAATCTGAAGACAAGAGTACACACTGAGACAGAGTGCGTCTCAACGTGGAGGATACTTGGTTCCATTCGCCGTTCATTTGATCCTTTAGCCCTGGACACTTTCCGACTGCTGTATGTCTCACATGTACTTCCTATCGACGTCTTCGAGGCGACCTCATCTATGCCAGGCGAATAATCCGTGGTGAGTTGGGCCGAGAACTTCATTCGGAATTCCCGCTCAGGAATAATGATCGTACCAGAGGACACTCTCTGACGCTTCGTAAGGTGCATTCCACTGGCCTACCGGCCATCTATCGATTGCCAAGGAGAGTGATCAATCTCTGGAAAACTCTACCGACCGAAGTGGTGGAAGAGGAAACCGAGACATTATTTAGGAGGAAATTGGATCAGACCCAGAAGGATTACTGGCGGAGCATCGACATCTAGCCGAGTCAACAGAGTACGATGTGATGGGGCTCATACGGGATGACTTCCCATTGCCCTTTACCCGAAGACTGAAGACTGACTGAGCTCTTCCCCTTGATCCAGCAGGTCAAGGCCTTATAAGTGCCAGCCCGAATTGAAAGCTCAATAAAAGCATCAGTAGCTGATACTATTGATGGAACCTGTAACAGTTTCTGCAAATATGTGCTCTGAATGACTTATTTCCATTTGCTCAATGTTCTTTCACTAGAGCTGAGTAGAGGTTCATCTTCAGCAAAACCAAGTGAACAACATTTGATTTGAACAACACTGTCATATTGTGGAACGTAAGCGCTCAATAAAACAAATGTCTGGTGCATGACTTTCTAACTCGAGATAACATGGATGAGTCAAGTTACATACATGAAAGGATTTTGTTGAAAAGTCCACAAGAAATATATTGGGTATTTTCTCTTTAACTGGATAGCAAAAGGTACCAGGTGGTAGAGATAGCATGGATATTCTTATTTTTTTATCATACGCTTGTGCATGGGTGCCTTGGAAGTGGTAAACATCCCATGACCATAAAGGTCCACAACACTGTAAGGAACTATAAGCAACCAGACCCTGAGACTTGTAGTGAAATGTAACCACATAAGTTCATAGGTCAGGAGTAAGGCCGATTTCATGAAAAAAATTCCACTGCTTGTACAACCGAGCTACGCGTGTCATTCAAACAGTAAATTATTGTAAATCAGAAGGCTCATCAAATATCGTTCAAAGTGCGGTTTGCAACTTTAGCAAGGATCTAACTGGAAACTAATGGTCGTACTACACCAGATTAGTTGAAGGATTACCTACTCAGTAGACCTAAGGTTGGAGATTAGAATTCGGCTAGCTAAGCCAAGGTTCACAAGCAGAAAATGAACTGGATTTTAAAATATGTACGAAGAATCCCACAGAACACATTGAGAACAAAACAGCGTGGTGAACAAGCTCGTTTCCAGTTATTCGTACTCATACCAATGCATAACATTAAATATGACTCAAACCAACTAAGGGGATGATCATCCAAATCTGTCTGTGCACGTGTGTGTGTGTGTGTGTGTGTGTGAATGCATGTGAAATTGATCACAGCGAAGAATGTTCGAGTGGTTGCACACGTGTTCGGGAACAAGAAGTGGGCCATGGAAGTTTAAGTGCTTGCACACATTGTTTCTGAGCGCACAGGGGAGGATTGTAGAGTCGAATGCTCACGGCTTCGGCTGTTGCTAAGATGCGACAATTTCATCACTGTTACATCTTGATGAAGGCAAATCAACAAGCTGTTTCTTTTGCCGACTCCATACAAAGCTTCATCTATGTGTGGCGTCACCGGACCTTGGGAAGCGACCATCGACAACAGCATCCGACGGTGTTGAACGTTGCCATCATGCATTTGACCTGACTCTTATTGCGTCACCTACTATCATACCTAATTTATAATGTTTTTTCGATCAGATACGTAACTGTCTCAACGTTGCTACGTTTTCAAATTTCGATTGGAAAATCAGAAAGGCTTGTTTTACGGAGGTAGACATTGTTTTAACGAGGGTGCGGGTCCCCAAATTGTTTGATAGGCTATGTTGAGATCACTTATATGATGAGGTCGATCTACTGCTGACCAAGTTCGTCGTTTGTCTAAGCAATAATACCATCAACTATGACTGAAATGTGAACTGTGCTAAGTAATTCCACCGCAGACTCAGTCGTTTGTCTGAAGGCCTTAGTAGTGCTATACTTTCAAATGAATCCATCACGAAAGGCTTTTTAGACAGAATTTCTTTTCAACTATCTTTATTCTTCGCCATTCATGACTTCTGTAGAAATAATTCCCAAAATGCGAAGCGTTTTGAACCAGGTTGAGTTCATCTGCCATAGGTACATGGCTGTCAAAGTGCAAATAATCCCCTGTCCAAGGGCCTCTTTGGTAAGTAGATCTGCGATCATTCCATCGACCCTCGTAGTCAGATGGATATTGAAGGAAGAAGGATGGGGGGTGAAATGTGCTTCTCGAGTTTGACTGAATTCCAAGAATTATATCCAGATGTAGACCGGTAGATTCATCTGCGATCCAAGCCGTCTCTTACCAGCCAGGTAATGCTGGTAAGCCAAAGTATCTTCATCCTATTCTCAGTAAAATTCAGAACATTCATGGATGTTGCTTGCGTTTTCTGAATGACGAACCCTAACTATATTAGCCTAATCAGGAACCAATGAACTCCTATTGTAACGTAATTGATCTGCCAATAAGCCGGGTCTAGGGGGGTATAAGTCTGTCGGGTACAGTAGTATCAATTTTTCAAGAACTGATACTAGTATACCAAATTCAAGTTGCATGGAAAAGCTATCATCTAAGATGAAACCTATGATCTCTAGGATGATTCGTGAGTAACGACAGCATATCAAACGAGACCAAATGATCCATTTTGTATCCTGACAAGCCGTTAAAGTTCTGCAATTTTGAATGTGTTCTCGATGATGTTTTCTAACCAATAATTTATGAACGCTTACAAGAAATTTCACCATGTATTTCGACAACAGATGTTTTGAGGAATTTTCGTGGGTAATGGTGGTCGATGTGGCACTTTGACCTCGTGCAGCTTAGGTATACCGTAGGAGTATGCGTTATCGGTTTTACTTGAGCTCAGAGATAACAAAATGAGTCATATAATTCCAAATGAGTTAGGCAATAGGGGTCAGGTTAAATGAATGACGAAGCCGTTTAACGTCGTAATATACCATCATTCGGTAGTCGCATATCAGGATCCGATGACGCCAATTCCAGTTGATCTAATGACTGCTTTTAAAGCTAAAATCTTGTCGAAGAAGGTCTGCCAGTTGAAGTTTGCTTCAGCCATTGCCATACGGAGAGAAATAGCTGTTTGGTATTTCACCCTTAGTGTGGTGATGTACCTGGGTCCCTGTGATTACTTTTGTTTGTCCAGTTTCATAATTTTACTTGCAGGCAACAAATGTATACTGTTCTTCAGTATTCACCATT